ATAAAAAATACTATGTAAGTATTTCCCTTACTTCCCATTACAGGGATTTCTCACACTCCAATCTCGACTAAATTATTTCGCCCACACCCCAAGTTATCATGATAAAGGTGTTGCCTCTAATGAAGATAAGTACTAAGACAGTGACGCATTTATTAACCTAATGTCTTTCAATTAACATGCTACTTACATACCTACCTATATTAGGTAAATAGGTACAACTGTACTTACTTAGGTAAGTTACGTATAGCAAAACATTGACTTAATTGCGTCTTTATTATTTTAGTAGTAAGAGTGGTTTTGTAAAGGCATTTTTATGAATAAAATGCAGCTGATTTCACTGTGTGATGTTTATTTATTTTGTAATGATAGTTACCTAATGTTTGGTGGAGTAGCTTTAGTAGCACTGAGATTAATATGTACCTAGGTATACCACATTAACAGTCCATGACAATCAGATAAATGTCAAATCCACATTTGTGATTGGAGATCACCGGTATCTAATTAAAAGATTCAACTTTACCAAAGTCCTTCCGCCCGGTCTATAGGATGTTCTAAACCAAGGGGAGAATAAAGGAGTTTTTTTATGAGGGAAATATCATTGATTAACTCTCACGCCCTAGGTGATGAAAGAATGAGTAGCAGACATATGTTGACTAAAAATCTACCGGTGCCTTCTCCTGCTCCAAGCATTATTGTGGTATAATATTCCTCTTTTTAAACCTGCAATCTTGAACAATTAAGGAAGACAATATTGTATTCTACTTTCATCTAGCTGATTAATAAAAGGCATATAAACCCATAAATATTAAGTACGTCATTATTTTATTCATCAACTAAATACTAACAAGTGACAATCAAAAGATATAAACACACAGCTTTCTCATACTTAGACCGTACCAGTTAAGTATATGACATTTAACAGCAACAAGTCACATTAAGATAGCAATGCGTTGCCCATACCTATAATTACTTACATGTTACTTATCTTGTAATACTAATTAAGATGTTGAGCTTACATCCTTTGACAACAAGTGACCCGGGTCACCGGTTAACCTACACAGTACCTACCTATAATTACAGAGTTAACAGAAATTTTCAATTTATGTGCAGAACACTATACTTTCCGACTTACGTCCTGACTGGACCGGAGTGATAACACGGCCACGCAGAACAAGGCGTGAAACTACACTGGCCTTGTTTCGACCTCCCTCCTCTACTAATGTCATATCTCCTAATCCTAAAACCCCCAAAAAGCCATTTTCGCAATGCTCTTCTCACATATAACTCTTCTTCTGGTGTTGCAGTTGGCCAATGGTGGGACTAAGTGGATTGCTTAACTTCAATTTCTTGAACGTGTTACCTACTTAGATAAAGAAAGTTACTGTTCTGAAAGCACTTCTTTGCGCTAAACTAGTAAGCAGGAGATTTTAATGACTCAGACTCACATACAGGAGAAAAAAAAATCTATTAAGTAGATCCGTTTTTATTTTAATTTAAAATACTTCAATTTCCGTATAATCTTTAACTAAACTCTAAACCTGCTAGGTAAGTTCCCAAGCTTCTACCGACATATATTATTTATAAATGGACAATAAAGAATACTTTATCTTTGAGTAGTGAAGTAGATGTGAAGAGCTTACATCGCGGAGTCATAGGTCAGCCGCCCACACACGCTACGCAATAAGAAATGGACCGCATACCTATCGGAAAAATGGCGGCTATTTTTTATCTGTGGAAATTAAATTTTCAGCGATGGGAAATTGATGTATTTGTGTTGATAAATTCGTTTTTATTCTGGTGTGTTGGCCTTTTTGGATAAGGGTACAGCAAAATACTTCTTAGGTACTCTGAAACATACGTACCTACTTAGAAGTTATGAGAAGACGACAATCAAAATGATTTAATACTAGTCGGAGTGCCTTAGCAACCGACTCCAATACCGGTGTTCCTCAGGGGTCTGTTCTCTCTGCAACTCTATTCCTGCTCCACATTAATGATCTGCTAGTGCCTGGTATCCTTGGGTATGCAGATGATAGCACAGTTGTAGAGAGATACCTGCCCAGTGCTCGGGCTAGTAAGGAGCTAATCCAGTCTGAAAGGGAGGCTATGGTAGAGCGTACGAATGTCTCACTTCAGGTAGTTTCAAAGTGGGGCAAAACTAATCTGGTAACATTCAACGCCACCAAAACACAGGCGTGTCTATTCACCGCCAAAAGGAGCCCGTTCACCTTGGCTCCTGCTTTTCGGGATGTATCCCTGGAGTGCACCGACCGCCTTCAGCTCTTGGGAATGGACATTGCTTCAGACCTCAACTTTGGGCGGTTCATTGAGTCCAGAGCCAAGGTAGCTGCTAGAAAACTCGGCGTTCTTGCAAAAGTCCGACGGTACTTCACACCGAGTCAGCTTCTAATGTTGTATAAAGCTCAGGTCCGATCGTGTGTGGAGTACTGCAGCCACGTATGGGCTGGTGCTGCGAAATGCCACCTAGCGGCTTTGGATTCGGTGGAAAGGCGTGCAATGAGGCTGATTGGAGATCCAGATTTGGTTGGGTCCAATATTCAAAGTCTCGAGCACAGGCGCAGAGTAGCCAGCCTTGCGGTTTTCTACAGGATACATTTTGGAGAGTGTGCCCAGGAATTGCACGATTTGATTCCGCCATCCCAATTTCACCTTCGGACATCCCGGCGTACGGCGAATATCCACCCCTACGTTGTTGAGACACCTGCGGCCCGGACTAAGCGTTTTGCCTCGTCATTTATACCGCGTACATCGAGGGATTGGAACAGTTTGCCGGCTGCAGTCTTTCCGTCCGAATACAACTTAGGTGTCTTCAAGGCTAGAGTGAATAGGCTCTTAATAAACTAGTGCGCCTTACCATCAACGATTGCATCACTGCTTAACATCAGGTGGGATCGCAGTCAAGCACTGGTTTATTGCAAGTAAAAAAAAAAAAAAAAATACAGCATGTCGCGGGTTCAATTTCCACGTACATACTTAAGGCAAGAAAAGATAAGTACCTAGGTACTTTATATGATCTACAAAATGTTGTTTCGAACCTGAGTCAGTTAAATAACTGCTGTTGTGTTTGTAACTTTTTACAATATTGAAATCAGCTTCATAATTCGTGTTGTTGGTAAACTTTTATACCTGCGTACTTGCCTCATTAGCACTAGGTATGAAATTAATCATAATACCGTAATGTTTTCGCGACCGAACGCCACACTGGGCGCGGTTTTATAAATGTTGCTAATTATTTAATCACACGATATTTTGTGACCGAAATATGGTGAATGACATTCAAATTTTTTTTTTTATTAGGTATCTAACGCTGTCACAATCTTTATTTTTTATAGGTAAAAAATATATATTCTCAATGCATTTCAGAAGCAGAAACTGTTTGTGTTACATACTTAAATGACCAAATACCTATGTACCAAATTCTAACTACATAATAAACCTACCCATGTAAGTATTTAAAATAATGTTAATATGTGTCACCTTATTGTATCTAATTTAATTTTAATTTCTAACCTAGTAAAGTCTATTGTCTATTGTACTTTCCTGTAGGTAGGTACAAATCAATGGAAACGACCTACTCCACTTCCTTAAATAATTAGTAAAAAAACAGAAACTTAAGCACTAACAATATTCTCTTAAATATCCATAACAAATTAACTTCTACGCAAACACTATAAATGCCAAGCCTATAATTTCTATTTATCCACCCAAACAGGCGACCAGCAACAGCTTACCTAACGCAATATCTTTATAGCTGAATAATTAGTGAGTTAATAAAGCAACGAGTCAATCTCACATCACACCAACGTCTTATTAAAACTTAACAAAGAGGAGAAACGTCTAGAAATCCGTGTTTAAACAAACATATGATCCAAGTACCGTATTAGCTCGACACTTCCTCAATTAACAAGTATACGGAGGCATAGTAGAATATAATTACAACTGCAGTAAACGTGCTCTGTAAACAACTAACACTCGTTTGGTTTGACGCACCAAACGTTTATAATAACATCTTCTAAGAAACCTTTAGGTGGTCGCAAACATTAGCTTTGTTTGAGCGCCAATTTGGACTGGCCAAGCATTCAAGCTAGCAAACATAACTCAGTCTGCAAAGCACAGTAAAATCGCCCTTTTCGCTATCGACAAAAAAGCTAACGCCTCCGTAAAAGAAAGCAGTATTCATGCTCTTAAATTTTAATTGCGAAACACAGCGGACGCACACGTCTTGTGTATTCGCGAATGTGTTAATTCAAAGCAATGCAGTATGCTTTTAATATGCACTTATATGGCGTGCACATTCCTTCGCACTCAGTTTGCTGATAAAAGCTTACTTTTGTTCGAGATACAAAGACATTCTGTGAGTCAATGCAAACAGTGGATATGAAACGCGTTGCTTCCATTTTTTATCAGGCACCAAACTATTTTTCTATTAGTAGACTATTTTATTTTAATATTTAATTTGTTATTCACATTTTAAAATTTTCAAATTTTTAAATTTCAAAATTTAAGTGTTTACATGGTCAAATCGTAATAATAGGTGTATAGAGTATAATAAAACAACAACGCTTTAATAAAACTTAATTATTTTTTATTATTCACTTACAACTAAAATTTATTCTAATTGAACTGTGAAGAATATTCACAAAAGATCTTATTACCCGGCAGACTGATTCATAGCTTTATATCCAGAAGTTCATTGAACAAATATGCTATTTACAGAACCAATAACATTCCTAGACATTTTGGTTTTTTTAAGATACTCATACGGGATTGAACACATTATTATTAAATAGGTAAGCAATCCATTTTAAAAGCGCAAAATAACAATGATAAGCCTATATGCAATTTATAAGAGTAGAAGTCTTAATATCTACTAAGCATGCATAAACCCCTTAGTACTCGACGCGACTTCGTAGCGTATCAGATAGTTATTGTCATTAAATGATAATCAATTGCGTATCGTAACATTATTGGAATTTGTGTGCAAAAGCTCTGATAATAAATTGGAGAAACTGGAATCCTATGAGTAGAGAAAAATTTCACATTAGCACAACAATCTTAAAATATCCTGCTCAACATGGAAATGAATCATTCGTTGAAATCGTCAGTCAGTGTTCAGGAGTCAAATATCACCCGTATCTTAAGCTACACTGTCTGGATTTAGCCATTTAATAATTTGTCAGCCGAGCATAGTCCACTTCTCATTTGGGTTTAGTTTCTTGGTCTGTCACATATCTAATGTAGATTGTGTCTTCTGGTTTTGGGTCCTCTATTTGTGTCTCATCAAGCTGAGAGCAAGCAATGGCTAATGCGGATCCATCGTGGGAGAAGCTTAGAGATGACACAGCTGTGTTATATCTATGGAATTGACACAGCCGCTTCTTGTTGAAACCATCCCAGATATTGACATAGCCATCTGAACCTCCAGTTGCAAATGTATTGTACACAGAATGGAAGCTTATTGCATTAACTGGGTAGATTTTTTCTAGACCTGCAATGAATTAGTAATTTTTAATTTTTTTTGGATTGAAAAGTAACTTGACTTCTTTAGTCAAGTTTTTGACCTATATTTTTTCTTTGTGACATGGCAAAGACTTAGCTTTTACTTTTGTTAGACCTTTTATATTTTTTTTATGAATTCTTAACACTAAAAAATAAGACTTACCGCCATCCTTGATCCGATGACACTTGAATGCATATTTCTTCTTCTGAACTTCTGGATTACTGTCAAGATACTCTACGGCCACCCGACCCTCGATAGAGCTGAGAACATAGCCCTGTTTGTTGGGGAACACTCGGATACACCTTGTCTGGTACTTGAGAGATGATTCCCGTCTTTGGTTTACATGTCCCATGTTCCTTACGTCCCATACAAAGATCTTGCGTCCAGAAGTGCCCACTACAAACTTCTCACCCACAATGCTCATTGTGTACACCTGGAAGTTAATTTGTAAACAATTTAATATCTTGGGTGGTTTCATAGCCAAAGATAAAAACAGATAATTTACAAAATGCTGCCAATAATCAATATTTAATAGGTCAGTTAATACCTGATGGGAAATATTGATGGACAAACATTTCATTAGGGATTCATGTGTGAAAGGTTGAAAATTTTATTATGTAATTTTTGGTTCTGCCACCAATGATACCTGACTTATTTTCTGTTATATACAAAACATTTCATATTAACCTTTGTTGTAATATGAGACACAATAGTGAAAAATTAATAAAAAGGTTTGCTTGGGGTTTGATGACTTGATATTTTAACAATATCTTACCCTCTCATTTCCCTGGTTATAAGTCCCAACACAATTGGGTACACGGCTGTCCCACATTTTAACAGTGCCATCCCAACTGCCAGTGAGAACAGCATTCACTTCAGATGCAAACTCCACACATCGGATAGCACCTTTATGTTCACCCAGTAATGTTTCCATGCTTGCATTCAAATCATACATTTTAAGAGTCTGATCTAACCCCCCGCTATACGTATGTACAGCATCCTGAAAAATACAAATATGTTATTTATTGTGACTATTAAACCACAAACGCTACGATTTTTACGTTCATGTTATATCTTCAAGTGCAAATACGAAACTGTCTCTGTTTTTCTTAACAACAACCGCTGTTTTGACTCCACTCCCAGTATCCAAACTAACAAAAACAATTGAACACTTACCCGAAAACAGACGTCCAGGACAGGTAGTTCATGATTGTATTTATGACGCTCCGTGTTCGATGTGACATCGTACAGTCTCACTGAACAGTCCCATGAGGACACCAGCAGGAATTGATTAGATTTAGGAGCAAATTTAACGCTCGATATAGCATCGTCTGGTAAGCTCTTTAATTTAAACTCGGTGCGGGACTCCGCCACCCGCGTCACTGTCATTGTGGAAGCAATTTTGTTGGATAATTTTAAATATCAGAAAAAAATAAAGAGGTTTCTTCTTTTATGAAGAATAACACAGTTCGAAAGAAAATATAGCGGGTTATCCGCAAGGGACTCTTGCCGTCAGCGACAAAGCAGATTAAAAATGACAACGAGTTTGCGAGTTGCTTTGACAGTTTGAAATGGCAATATTAGGCAGAACTAAACGTTCCGAATATAATTAAATATAAAAAATATTATTCTTTGGATCAACGTCATTTATTCTAGTTACTGACTTAATTCTTAATATTTATCGTAATGAGAAAAGTATTTTTTTTCTTAAGGAAACCAAGAAACCTATTTTTTTAATGACGTAATTTATTATTCTACAAAACTTGTAAAACAAAAATCTGAACGCATCAATAATTCAATATGAAAGTACACTATCGTTTAATAGTTTAAGAAAATACCGATAAAAACATAACTTGATTGTCATAAATTTAATATTTCATACAAAAGAATTTAGGTAACTATTTCAAACAGCAAATGAAATTTAGAAAAAAGATATGTCGATAATTAGTTGAATGGTGACATTTATGAACGCAACTTTATAATTGACATGTTTGTGATGAGGTGTGAATCGTAGAAAGAAATCTCCGTCTCGCAGAAATGATTTCACAAAAATCCATAGTTCCATAAAGTTTTGTGATGTTCTATTTGTGCTACATCAATACGAGTACACAATAATACGATAACAATATAGCAGTGCCTCATTAAATAATATAAATGAATATAAAACCACCGTGCAACTAAGTCGGTTCCGAAAGGAACGAATGGAGTGATTAACTTATGAAATAACGATGCAAACCAACTTGAAAACTAAAGAAATGTTTATAGTCCGAGCTTTAGAAAAGATATTGGCTGATAAGGACATTAAAAGGTCCTACCACAGCCAATTGAAAAAGTCGTGCGAAGTCGCTCTAGGTAAGACCTGCTGACATTTACAACTTTTAGGTATCATATTATGCTGTATATTTCATAGGAGACGTGTATTTATCACCTGTCACTAATTAAGTTAGGATGTCCGATGCGATAGTTCTATTGTTATTTATAATTTATTAGATAGTGAATGTATTGACCTTGGTTTTAAAAGTCGAAACCTACTTTACGTTATCATAGATTCTTGTGAAGTGTTTTCGACACAGTATCGAGTCGAGGTAGGCAGTGGATCGAATGTCAGTGGTGTGTGTGAAACCAATAATGTGTATAATTCATAGATGACCTACTATGCTTGTGTGTATTATAAATATGAACAATGTTCACTAATAAATATCTGTTACTGCTGTTGGGTGAGCTTAAATGTTGGTGTGAAGTCTTACAACTACATACATACATTACATCATACTATATACTTGTCATAACATATCTATCCTTTACATGTATAACAATATCTATTTGTTAATGTGTTATGTATTACACTTTAAGTGTTAACTTCAATGTTTACTTCAGAAAAAGGTTAAACCTAAGAACATTAAACCATATCTATAAGATTAGTACTAACAGTACCATATAATATAAATCCTAACAAAATCTGAGAATAACACATAAATACTAATCCTAAAATATTATCTAGTGTGTGTAGGAAACAACAATATATTATATACTTATAATACTTATTTAACTACCTATATCCTAGTTGCCTATTCAGTGTATCATTCAATAACACACTTAGTATGCAGTCACGTTTCCTGTCTACTATGGTATTGCTTTATGGTAGGATTGTGAGTACTTTATATGTATACATACACACCAAACAAACATAACTACATAAACTTACAGCTAAAGTATATACATACCTAGTAGGAAACAGTACCGTTAAAATCTATGCTAATCAAACTTATGTAACAGTATAAATTGTTTGGTGATAATTATTTTATATGTATTTTTGTAATATTGATGTTGAGTATAATTAATTTACTTAGGTTTTAATTTCAGTTTTCCTTTTAAACTCAATTTTATTACTCATGTTCATGTTATTTCGAACATTATATTATGTATGTAGTTTTCAGAGTACCAAGCAGGTAGAAAAATGGTTGTCTGGTTCTATATGTAGGGAAAATAGTGAATGTTATTTCTTTATAAATTTCAAAAACAAAGCATTTGTGAGATTTACTAAAGATTTTCCTGTTATGATAGTAAATTATAAGCATTTCAGTGAAACTACCAAATAATAATCAAAGTCTATGAAACCAAAAAAGTTTGTCTGCATACTGTAATAAGGCTTAGCATGAGTTTTTTTATATAAAAACTGATTATAATTAAAAATAACATTCCCATTTACTTTTCTTATTGTTACTAAACTTTGTGCTTGCAAACTACACTAACAAGGAGGTTTTATCCTCCTTATGAGGAGACTTTTTTTAGAGGTCAAATTGTAAGATCTTTTTCACATAATAATTCTCCAATCCATTTTATCTTTAGTAGGTATGTATTTGTATAACATTTTGTTCACTCATAACTAAACATTTTAATTATGTGTTTAAAAAACACACATACAACATACAAACATGTAGAAACATTCAATACTTTATTTGATTATCCTGTTACACATCTAAAATTATCATAAATAATTGGGGACAGACTGATTCTGTTTATGATAAGAATTTGTTAATATTTGTTTTTAATTTAGTCTAAATATCATTACTGTTTTAGACATGCTACATATTCAATAACTATGTTTTTGTTTACAGAGGAAATCAAAACTGAATTGAAAAATGGAGGACAACCTGAGTCATCAGAAAGTCCTACATCAGGGACCTTACCTCTACCCAAAAATGATGCTTCCAACATTATTACTGCTGAGAAATACTTCTTGCCATTTGAGCTGGCATGTCAGAGTAAAGCAGCCAGGATAGTTGTAACAGCCTTGGACTGTCTTCAAAAACTTATTGCATATGGGCATCTCACTGGTAACATTCCTGACTCAACAACTCCAAGAAAACTCCTTATTGACAGAATTGTGGAAACTATCTGCAGCTGTTTCACAGGACCACAAACAGACGAGGGAGTCCAACTGCAGATAATAAAAGCTCTACTAACAGTTATCACAAGTCAACATGTTGAAGTTCACGAGGGCACAGTACTCCTTGCTGTCAGAACATGTTACAACATCTACCTTGCTAGTAAAAACCTCATTAATCAAACAACAGCAAGAGCCACCCTGACACAGATGCTAAATGTTATATTCACCAAAATGGAGAATCAGGCCCTTGAATCTGAAACAAATGATAATAGTAATAACCATGCTGTAACAGAAATACACAAAATACCTAATGGTAATGTTGTATCTGAAGAAACACCTAACAATGGGGTTGAAGAGGTAAAAGAAGAAGGAACACAACTCGAGGAACACGATGAAGTATTAGAAGCTAAAATTATCGCTAAACAAATTGTAGATTCCGTTATAGATAATGCCATAAGTATTGCGTCTAAAAAAACATCTGAAGAAGATGTGACTAATACACCTGATAACAATGAAAATCCGTCTGATTCACAAGATAGTGGCAGTGTGTCACAAGAAAGCAATGGACAGGTGCCGACCGAAAACACTATGACGAGGATACCATCACAAGAAAGTGTGGATGTTGCATCGGAAAATGATAACTCGGTAACAGCAAAGTTTACACATGTATTACAAAAGGACGCTTTCCTAGTATTTAGAGCTCTATGCAAGCTTTCAATGAAGCCCCTACCTGAAGGAACTCCAGACCCTAAGTCACATGAACTAAGATCTAAAATTCTTTCTCTTCACCTTCTATTATCTATCTTACAAAATGCTGGTCCAGTATTTAGGAACAATGAGATGTTCATTACAGCCATCAAGCAATATCTTTGCGTGGCTCTTTCAAAGAATGGTGTCAGTTCTGTTCCAGAAGTTTTTGAACTTTCCTTAGCTATCTTCTTGGCTCTGTTGCAAAACTTCAAGGTACATCTCAAGAAGCAAATTGAAGTTTTCTTCAAAGAAATCTTTATGAACATTTTGGAAACATCAAGCTCGTCCTTTGAGCACAAATGGATGGTCATCCAAGCACTGACCAGAATCTGTGGAGATGCACAAAGCGTCGTTGACATCTATGTAAACTATGATTGTGATTTATCAGCAGCTAATTTATTCCAACGCCTGGTAAATGATGTATCTAAGATTGCCCAAGGAAGGCAAACGCTGGAATTGGGCGCTACACCTAATCAAGAGAAATCCATGCGTATACGTGGACTTGAATGCCTAGTGTCCATATTAAAATGCATGGTAGAATGGAGCAAAGAACTATATATAAATCCCAACCTACAAACAACTTTGGGAGAGAGAACTGCAAAAGAAGAACATGACCACCACAGTATGAAATCTCACGGAGGATCTAGTCTAAGTCTAGTCTCAACAGGATCCAGTAATATTGGTAACAGAGAGACATTAGATTCTCCTGAACAATTTGAAGTATTGAAACAACAAAAGGAAGTTTGGGAAACAGGAATAGAACTATTCAACAGGAAACCAAAACGTGGAATTTCTTTCTTACAAGAGCAAGGTCTCTTGGGTGCATCGACAAAAGACGTGGCTGAGTGGCTTTTAACGGATGAAAGACTTGATAAAACATTTATTGGCGAGTATTTAGGTGAAAACGAAGATCACTCTAGGGAAGTTATGTATTCCTACGTAGATTCAATGAATTTCGCTAACATGGATATTGTTGCTGCGTTACGTTATTTCTTAGAAGGTTTCAGACTTCCTGGCGAAGCTCAAAAGATCGACAGGTTAATGGAGAAGTTTGCGTCACGCTACTGTGAATGCAATCCGAACAACACGTTATTCACGAGCGCGGATACTGTTTACGTACTAGCGTTTTCCATAATAATGCTCACAACAGACTTACATTCGCCTCAAGTTAAAAATAAAATGACAAAAGAACAATATATTAAGATGAATAGTGGCATAAGTGACAACAACGACCTTCCACGAGAATATTTGTCACAGATATACGACGAAATAGCCGGGCACGAGATCAAAATGAAGAGTTCGTCTAAACCAGGAAAACATATGATCTCCAACGAGAAGAAGCGGAAGCTAATCTGGAACATGGAAATGGACTTAATATCTGCAGCCGCAAAGAACTTGATGGAATCTGTGTCACATGTTCAAACTCCATTTACGACCGCCAAGCATGTCGAACACGTTCGCCCTATGTTTAAAATGGCTTGGACGCCCTTCCTCGCTGCATTTTCAGTGGGCTTGCAAGATTGTGATGACCCTGAAATCGCGTCACTTTGTTTAGACGGTATTAGGTGCGCCATCCGCATTGCGTGCATTTTCCACATGTCGCTTGAAAGAGACGCGTACGTACAGGCTCTCGCGCGCTTCACCCTACTCACAGCGAACTCGCCCATCACCGAAATGAAGGCTAAGAACATTGACACAATAAAGACGTTGATTACTGTCGCACATACTGATGGTAATTACCTAGGAACGAGTTGGTTGGATGTCGTTAAATGCATTTCTCAGTTAGAACTGGCACAGCTTATAGGGACTGGAGTGCGGCCGCAGTTCCTATCAGGATCTGGCATCAAACCTCAACCTGACTCGTTGAAGTTTAGCCTAATGTCATTAGATCCCAGCGTCAAAGAACACATCGGCGAGACAAGCTCTCAGAGTGTAGTCGTAGCAGTAGATAGAATATTTACAGGATCCACTAGACTTGATGGTGATGCCATTGTAGACTTCGTCAAAGCATTATGTCAAGTATCTTTGGATGAGCTGAGTCATCCGACAAACCCTCGAATGTTTTCACTGCAGAAGATAGTCGAAATTTCGTACTACAATATGGGTCGTATCAGGCTGCAGTGGTCTCGAATATGGCAAGTACTAGGTGATCATTTTAACAAAGTAGGCTGCAGCAGTAATGAAGATATAGCATTCTTCGCAGTGGATTCCTTGAGACAGCTGTCAATGAAGTTTATTGAAAAAGGGGAGTTCGCCAATTTCAAATTCCAAAAGGACTTTTTAAGGCCCTTTGAACACATCATGAAGAAAAATAGTTCTCCTACTATCAGAGATATGGTAGTGCGTTGTATCGCACAAATGGTTAACTCTCAAGCATCCAATATCAAATCAGGTTGGAAAAATATATTCTCGGTATTCCATCTAGCTGCCAGCGATCAAGATGAAGCTATTGTTGACTTGGCATTCCAGACTACCGGCAAAATTATAAATGAGTTATATGAAAAACAATTCCCAGCGATGATAGACTCCTTCCAAGATGCAGTGAAATGCTTATCAGAATTTGCATGCAATGCTAAGTTCCCCGACACTTCAATGGAGGCCATAAGACTGGTGAGGTCTTGTGCAACTGCGGTAGGCGCATCACCGCAGCTGTTCGCCGAGCACGCGGGGCTTGAAGGCGAGCCAGGCGCTCCGGAAGTCGACAGAGTGTGGTTAAGAGGGTGGTTTCCTCTGCTCTTTTCTTTATCGTGCGTCGTCAGTCGCTGCAAGCTCGATGTTCGCACACGAGGACTCACGGTCCTGTTTGAGATAATTAAAACTCATGGTGAATCATTCCGTCCACATTGGTGGAGAGACCTGTTTAATATATTATTTAGAATCTTTGACAACATGAAGCTACCCGAGCACCAGTTGGAGAAGAACGAGTGGATGACTACAACCTGCAACCACGCGTTGTATGCCATCGTCGACGTCTTCACGCAATACTTTGACATTCTCGGTTCTCTATTGTTAGAGCAACTGTACGCGCAGCTGCATTGGTGCGTGCAGCAGGACAATGAACAGCTTGCACGCTCCGGCACCAACTGCTTGGAGAATCTAGTCATATCGAACGGAACCAAGTTCAACGAGGATACTTGGAGCAAAACATGTCAGATCATGTTGGATATCTTTAACAGCACCCTACCCACCACTTTGCTAACATGGAAACCCGATGATAACGACGAGAGCGACCAACCTCAAGTCCGACACGGTATCTTAAAGAAACCCCAAGGCGGGGACGAGATCAAGTCATCCAATCGAGTATTCAACAGTCTCCTCATCAAATGCGTTGTACAGTTGGAACTGATACAAACCATTGACAACATCGTCTTCTACCCCGCGACGTCGCGGAAGGAAGACGCCGAGACACTGGCGCTAGCGGCCGCAGAGCTGACTGGCGGCACTCCCGGCACCGAGCAGGAATGTCAGCGTGAAGAACAAGGAATGTATAGATTACTTAGTTCACCACACCTACTCCGACTAGTAGAATGCCTCATGTGCAGTCATCGCTTTGCTAAAACATTTAATACTAATAACACGCAAAGGAATGTGTTGTGGAAAGCTAATTTCAAGGGTTCGGTGAAGCCGAACATGTTGAAGCAAGAGACGCAGTCGTTGGCGTGCGTGCTGCGGATACTGTTCAAGATGTACAGTGATGAGACGCGGCGGGACCACTGGCCTGCGGTACAGAAGAGTCTCATCACCATTTGTTGTGAAGCTTTAGAATACTTTGCTGGAGTGACGAGCGAAGCACACAGAGACGCGTGGACGTCCATACTGCTGTTGATTCTCACAAGAATACTGAAGATGCCTGACGAAAGAGTAAGTATCTGCTAATTACTGAATAATCGTACATATGTACTTAAATTGTATCGAAACAATAATGGAATTAGATTGTAGATGCTATCAGTTATCGTTATGATAATGATAGTAACTATGAGCCGCGTCGTAAAAGAATTTCAACTTTGATCCGTCCTTTACTTATTATGCCATTTTTACATTGTTTTATTTAAGTACAATGAAAGAAATACAAAACTAAAACTGTACAAAATCATGTTCATGCACCGTTTCACTTGTATCTACATGTGTCGTTACTTTGTTTGATAGGCAGTAGCGTAACTTATGACAATGGTACAAGATGTGCAAATACACTACTACTAAAGGTTTGACCTCCTTATTATATTAACGAGTCAATGTTCTATTGTAATCCACGATACTATAGTGACAAAGTATTAGAAACGTAAATCAACACGAACTATTGCCAAACAAATACTACAAAAACCTAGAATTTTGCAATTGCTAAGATATCTAAAGACGAAATAAATCCACTTGAATATGATTTAGCGTAAAATCTTAGTATGATTGTCTCCCTTGTAAAACTATACAACTTAATATGGATCAGTTATTACGTGGACAACAAACCAATTTAGTTTTATTGTCTGTACTGGTTTATGAGATCATCACCTGTTGGTGTAGGTACATTGGTATGTAAATAGTATGGTGTCGTTGTTTCAGTTTGCGGCTCACGTGTCCAGCTACTACCCGCTCCTGTGTGAGATCACGTGCTTCGACCTGAAACCGGAGCTGCGGTCGGTGCTCCGCCGGGTGTTCATACGCATCGGGCCCGTCTTCAACATCGTCACCAACGCCCAATAACAACACAATATTAACAAACAATATGGCCTTATAGTTCTCTAGGATAAAGTATGACTTTGATGTTAATGTTAAAAATAATACTTCAGTTGATTCCTTAAAATTTAATGTAATATTGACAGCAATCAGTACTTCAGTAGTATTAAAAGTGATCTATCATATTTTATAGGGTGTAGTAGTCTTATTTCTAATTTATATTATAAATTATTGATTTGATTATCAAGTTAAATTTTTAAATTGTATATTATAAAAGCATAGAAATTGTATCTATAAATTATTATAGTTTATTCTGTATATTTGAAAGTTTTTACTGTCTGGGGAGCTGAATTCACTCACTACTGCTATTGCTTGGTATTCCTTCTAGCTAGACTGATCAGACTGTGATTGTGAACTTTTACTTTCTCACTGCTTTCCATGTTTTATCATTTTTCTTGGAGTGACTTCAGAACTCGCACGCAAACTGATTATTATATTATTATTCCTTAAAATAAAAATAATAAATTTAAAAGAAGTCTGATTTAAACAATCTTCAGTCCCTCAATGGACCTCTCCAAGGAGTCCAAGTCCCAGATGACCAGCTGTCCATCCAATCCAGTGGTGCTGAACTTGTGGGTGTTAGCCTTAGTACCTTCGAAAATGCGAATGGAAGTGATGGCATTCTGGTGAATAGAATCCAAGAAAGTGTCATTAGTTTCAATGCGCGCTTGGCGATCCAGAGACTGGAACTTCTTCATGGCAGACAGTCCACCAGACTCCTTTCTCTGAGTATTATCCAACTTGGCAACAAACTTAATCTGATCACCGTCATGGCAATACATTAAAGGAATGCAGCTATGTCCTGCCACTACCAGAGAGTTGTTGGTCACCCAACTGCATCCCAGGAAAGGCAAGTACTCAGTCTTTAATTTTATGATAGCTTTCCCTTGAGTAGCATCAGCTACATTTATGGAGCTATCATGTCCCACCCATGCAACTTTATTCCCGTCTGCTGAGAAAGACACACTATGCACCCATCCTCCACCATTGGGTGAATTTGGGAATTCAGCCAACATTTGTCCCAAAGGCAGCTTAGTGCCCCAAACATTTGGTCCTGGTTGGTCTTCAATATCCTTGATGTATGCAGAGTACACTCTTACTTTGAAGTCGGCTGAGCCAGCAACCAACAGGATGTTGTTTGGGTGCCAATCAATACTGGTTACAGTTGAACGGATGGGCTTCTTGATATGCTTAGACACCCACCAATTGTTTTCTTTTTCAAAATAACAGATGGAGATTAATCTGGCTCCAGAGCCAACAGCAAACTTGTTTTCCATAGGAGACCATTTGACACAAGTGGCAGCTCTGTTGATACGGAGGAGCACAAGAGTAGTAGTCCACTTGCCATCATCTCCCTGAGTCCAGACATATGCATTGCGGTCAACTGAACAGGTGACAATGCGGTTGGTGTTTGGCGCCCAGTCAATGCCCATTACCTTTAAGTCATGTTCCACCAGGTTGTTAGTTTGCTTCCAATCATTTCCCTCTTTTTGATAGATATGGACTTCATTGTTATTTGGTGAAAATGCTATTTCTGTAACAAAATAAAATTTTAATTCTGTTAAGTATTTATATTAATATAATTTGGTGATAAAGGGGCACATTTTTACATCAACACAGCAGGAGGTCTTTTTGTTAAACACCAAGGTAGGTAGGTTCATTGTTATATGTATATAATTATAAATAATGGATGATTAGCCTAAAGGATTATAATGATAGAGATTACTTACGAGTTCTATCCTTGTTCCATGCATGACAAGTCACCGGTGCACATGAGTCACCGAATGTAAGAGTTTGAGACATCTTTCGTGAGCTGTAGAAACAAGAAGTTCAATCTTAATACGTGCTAATGTTTTAAAACCCCTGTATTTTCGTTCCATCTGTAAATTTTTACCTGGAATTCCAAAGCAAACGGGAAATCGGTCACACCCAACAATATCAGTTGATAAGCGGAAATTCGCGGACTCTGGGCAGTCGACACGAATTTCTGTAAATATATACATATTTTTATGTTTAACGGCAACGAGTTAACAGTTATATCAATACTTATTTCACTTAATTTTCAGGGATTCTTATAACTATTTACCTATTTTCTTTCGAAAATTTAACACGAACCACAAGTCGAATTCGTATTCATTCAATGAGTGAAGGAATATATTAAAACTTCTGTCATAGATCTAGTCAGTGTCACTGCTGCTTTTTTTTTTTTTTTTGGAGTTTATGGCCTGGATACGAGTCCTTTAAGCCAAACCCTGTCACTGCTGCCAGTCACCTGAGACTGAAATTCTCGTTTAATATTTTTTTCTTACTAAATATTGTATGGCACCGGTATTTTGATATATTCATACATTTTTTAAATATCTTATATTGTTGAATTAAAGCTGTGGTAACTTTTCCGCACGATCATGAAAGATCACAAAAAAAATACTACAAATTGCACTGTTACAGAACATATCAGATTGACACAAAGTACACAAACGCTACTGACAGCTGACAGTGACAGCAAAATAAAAATAATAATATTCGAAGCCCACCCAGTATGACCGCGTATACTAATTTTATCGTAATTAAACAATAAGTGGTAAAGAATATAAATACTTTGCGCAAGTAAATAACTTTCGTTTTATATTCCAGTATAAATATCAAGAATGCCAGGCCCAGGTTCGTATCTTTTATTATACGAAAGCCAAAAAATCATATTGTATTTTAATGTTTATCAAAATTTATGTATTATTTAGCTAGTAGTAGGTGCTAACTTAAATTCAATCAATAAAGTCAATCAATTTACTCTTATAAGAAATCTTTTCATGATAACCGTCTCGTGTTCAGGAAAACATTACCGCGGCAATCGGAAAGGTTCCAATCAAACCCACACATTAGCATCTGTGGCGCGAGAGACGGCTACTTCTCTACCGGCAGACAGCCCTGTGCTTGCGATATTCAAAGATGCTGCTCGCAAATTGAATGAACGCCAAGACAGACATGAGCGGCTCGTCAAACTCTCACGTGACGTGACCATTGAAAGCAAAAGAATTATTTTCTTATTGCATTCTCCTATAACGTAAGTAATTTAAATCGTAGAATATAAAAATACATACTTAAAATTTGTTACATCAGCCATTATTTTCATATCCTAAATATGCTTTACATGTAAAAATCAAACTTAGTTTATTCTTCATTTAGAAAAGAGTCAACTGAAAATACCCTGACTGAAGCTAAGGATCGGATGCAAAAACTGATCAATGGTCCTATCAAAAGTATTGGTTTGGAATTGGAGTACAGTCCAGCTCACTTACATGCCAGGGCTGTTACTGCCGGCTTCCAGGAGTTCATAGAAGCAAGAACTCTGCTGTCTCTTATGGCTGACAAAAGGATCATTACTTACCCAGAAGTGCAGAAGGAATTGGAGTTTCAAATCACAGATGATGACTCCCAGAGAACTCTAGTGACTATGTTACCTGAGACTGACTACATGCTAGGTCTTGCTGATCTGACTGGAGAGCTGATGAGGAAGGCCATCAACAGCATATCAAGCGGAGACAGTGAGGAGTGCTACCAAGCCTGTCAAGTTGTCAGGCATTTGTATACTGGATACTTAGGTAATATATATTATTTTAGAATTCATATTTAAAAAATATATTAACTTATATGCAATTTAAGATAAAAAGGAAGGTTCTGCAAATTAGCCTAGCCATATGCTTATTACAAAAATAAAGCCAGAACCAACTGGCAACTGCATTCTTGATAGGTTTGTCAATATTGTAATAATTCAATAAGATGATCCAGTACTACTACGCTCAAAACTGATGACATAAAACTACTTATCAAACAGAAAAGATATTACTGCTATAAATTAATGTGTCTTCTGCTAATCTATTTCAGGCATAACTGGCACTCGTCTCTTAGTCCGTAAGATGCCGACAACTCGCGCCAACGTCAACAAAGTTGAGATGGCGGTGTACGCCCTCAAAGTGCGCGGCGGAGAGACACCGGCACCGCTACTCCTGCCTGCCGCACCTGCAGAGTGGGAACCACCTATCAACAATTTGTCCGACGATGAAGGATACTATTAGACTTTGGCAAACCTTGTCTATGGACTGGATAAAAAAGCCTGATTCAGATCTATTATAAAAGAAAGTTATTAGTGAATAATTTTTACTATAGATCTCTTAACTTCTTACATAAGTAATCAATTCCATGTTCATGTAAATCACGTTTTTTGTAGTACATAGTTTAATATTTGCGTCTACAGTTTAATTATGATACCTTCAATACACAGATCATTAAAATACCTTTGATTTTCATTCTTAATCCCAAATGAAGAGAAACAACATAGAAATTCTTTGAAAAAATAACATTTATTGAGGTAGTGGTTAATTAAAAATCTTGAGAATAGTCTCCACTGTTTGGTACATCACTAGGTGGTTGCCACTCATCGGATTCGTCTGTTCCATATGGATCCTCTTCATTTGACTCAGAGTCACTCCAACGTTGCCTATTTACAGTTTTCCGAGTCCTCTTTCCTACTACTATGAGATTATTGACAGGAGAATCTTCTTCATCACTTAAAGATTGTCTCCTTTGCCTCCTTCTCCTTTGTTTACCTGGTTAAAATTATTTGACTTAAAAATAGTACATTTCTTTTCATTGTTCATATTATATTTAACATGATGAACATTTTATATAATTTTTGGAATTCATGATCTGTTTAAAACTCATAATCATAATCGACACTGTCACCATCTGAATCTTCTGTTTCAAAATGGTCGTCGTAAAAGTTTACTGTGTGTGCATTTATGTAGTAGATGTTACCGTGACGTTCTACTCTTCGCATACCTGTTGAAAGAAAGAAATATTCGTTAATCAAATAACCAATTATTTTGTAAGCTTGTCTCCAAAGTAGGAGTGGTTTTAGAAGCGCCTTTTTGCATAAGTTTGGTAGCTACTTGTAAAACTTGATATATGGATTTATCCAAGTCTGAATAATTAAAATGACTTTTTGCCAAGATTGTTCTAGTAAGTCGTATGCGATGCCACATCAGCATATTTATACATAGACTGTGATCGGGCATTGCGATGCACATTGTGGCGGTTATCTTAATTTAAACATCATTTAAATGGCATGTTTTGACCATTAAACTTGTGTATTGGATGTTTTATGGGAAAGAGTCGTTACTCGTCGTCGTCGTGAGTTAATAGCGACAGAAAAGAGTTCGTATTCCAAAAAAATCTTAAATAAAATCTCGGATCCGGAAAAATACAACTATTAGTAGATCTGGTGAAATGTTCGTTGCAAGCTGGTTTCGTTCGTATTCCAAAAAAATCTTAAATAAAATCTCGGATCCGGAAAAATACAACTATTAGTAGATCTGGTGAAATGTTCGTTGCAAGCTGGTTTTCTATGAGATCATGGTATCAGTTCGTTCGAGGGAATTCATCCGTATCTACCGAAGCACGGACCTCCCGCACTTAAAGACAACGTTAGTAAACAATGACTAGGTATTAGAACCTTAGACAATATTTTTTATTTATCTAAATGAAATATGTAAAAAGGGAAGGTGAACAAAATGTAAAAGGATAATTTGAAAAATAAGAATGAAAAGTGATAATTATTAATTATACATGCTTTTTGTGAAAATATTATTTAATGAGATGTGATGTTGAATTAATATTAGACTAAACCATTTTTAGTAGAATGATGTTCGACCAACGAATATTAAAAGTGAACCATAATTAAAATGCCCAAAATTGCAAACTAAAGTTTGATATTAAAAAAAAATTAAGCCATGCCATGATGTTTAAAAAAAGATATCATTTTGTCCGCCGTCGCGAGCAGTCGCCTTACCAATACAATGTGACTAGTGTAAGATGTCGGGTGACTAAGATAGTGGACCTGGCGGGTGGTGTCGCGGCGCGGGTGGGGCGGTGCCGGCGGGGTGGCTGTGCAGCTGCCAGTGTCGCGGGTCGCGCCGCCTGCACCCGCTACCGTACGGACACGCGACCTGCTCGCCGGCGCCCCAGTCCGAGTCATTCGGGTGGCAGAAGTCCTCACGATGCTGCGGGTTGCGTCTGCATCACGGAACATAAAGCTTCAAATATAAACTCATTTTAATTTCAATATGGTTTAAAGAGTGTTACTATTCATTTTAAGTAGTTATTTCAAATTCGTTAAAATAAGGAAAAACATTAAAAAAATAAGCAACGATCGCACTTGTTACAAACCAAAGTTTTTTTTAGTCTAGACCTAAATCAATGGCCCAGTTTTTGTATTTCGAATTGAAGGTAGGTGAGAATAAAATTTAAAATACAAAATCTCACTTAATCGTTGAAACCTAGACTAAAGATAAATTTTGTTTTGTGTAATAAGGGAGAAAATGAATAAAAATGTTACTGGGAAACAATTGTATTCCATATGCACTTATTGTCGCCATGCTTAAAGAGTATGCTGCAATGACGTATACTTACCTCATTTGTACATTCACACATACTTAGGTGTCTAAGGTCGCTATCCCACTAGGCGTTATACCAGCGCAGACGCGACGTTGACGTCGCATTCAGCGAACGTTAAAGCTTGCCACACGACGACGCGGCGTTAAGGTTGCGTCGAGCAAATGCGACGTTGACGTCAAGTAGTAGCTAAACAAGCATAAACGCCTAGTGGGATAGCGACCTATCTATGTAGATTGTAGATCTACGAGATCTATAAGTAGTAAAAGTACTAAACTACCTATAACAATTGGCTCCGTAAAAACATCTCTCTCTTAACCGCACTGTGGGTTTTACAGGTGAGGCGGGTGCAGCATTATCTCCACTTTGGTCATTATTCGACGTGCCCTGCAACATAATTAGGTACAGATGATAACGACAAAGTATTTTAAAAAGAACTTACGGATAACAATATTTCGATGATTAGATAAATAATCATATCATGGAATGTTCAAATTGATGAAACAAGAATTGAAAATTCAATACAAAATTGAACATTTTTTTATCTGCACAAGTACACATTGGTGTTAAATGCAGGATCGTGGTCATTTACATTAAGGTGTAGTGAGTAGAGAAGTTTTTTTTTAAGTAATAGGTCGACAAACTAGCAGACGGATTACCTGATGGTAAGTAATCAGCGCCGCCCATGGACACTCGCAACGGAGGAGTTACGAGTGCGTTGCCGACCTTTTAGGGATTAGGGATTGGGGGAGGGGAAGGATTGGGCCTCCAGTAACCTCACTCACACAGCGAAACACAACGCTGTGGTTATTTCACGCCGGTTTTCTGTGAGGCCGTGGTATCAATCCGGTCGAGCCGACCCATTCGTGCCGAAGCATGGTTCTCCCACACTTAGCAGTAGTGCGCAGGATAAGTATGTAAACGTATATTACTGCTAATACCAATTGCGCTGCCCAGCGACCTCCAAAAAAGCGGTAGGATGTGTTTACCTGCTCAATCACTCAGAAAGACAAAGCGCGGACGCTGCAAAAATTTGAACGTCTACCATTGCCAAAAACTTGGGAGAAGGGCAGTGTGTAAACACGAGCAGCACGAGGAGCAGGATAGGGACTGAATGTAAATGAGGCATAGGTATTCTATGGTCAGTATACGATACATTGACAAAACTTACAGGTTGAACATCGATCGGAGCTGACGGATTTCCAGTGTCAGGCTCCACTTTAACGTTGGAACTTTCTGCAGGCTCAACTTTAACGTTGGAACTTTCTTCGGGCTCAACTTTGGCAGTGGTGCTTTCGGCAGGCTGAACTTTAACAGTGGCAGTGCCTGACGTTATATCCGTATTTTGTGCGGTGGACTCAACTTGAACATTATTCGTATCCATTGGTTCGGTTCTCACAATACTACTGTCCATTGGCTCAGTTTTAACTTTCTTAACATCTACGGGACTCGTATCCATAGAGCTGTTGTTACGTTTAGTTGGAGTTATTGCACTATCTATTAAAGGCACTTGCGGTGATACTCCATTAATATCTGCATTCTGTGGCACAGAAGTAACTTCATTGGTTTGTGGGTCATTGTCACCTGGAATTAATGACTTTATTATTAATTTCAGGAATATAATGTTATATACATTGCCGATTTTAATGGTTTTAACTAACTTAATCGCTTTTATAGACGTAATTGCATATTACTTAGAAAGTACAGTCTGTTATTTTGAATATTATTAAAATATACGGGTGCATGCACATAACATCTATGAAACCTAAGGTTTTAGAGAAATCTAAAAATATTTTAAAAAATATTCTCTAAAGGATATCGTTCAAAATCATGCAATCACACAATTGAAGACATAGCTTCAGTGGGTTCCTGTTTCGAATCCGGCGGGAGGAAACGCCCGAGTGTCGTCATTGTGAGGACTACTTAGAGGGCACGGTGTGTCCTGCTTGGGTCGAGCTGCGGAAGTAGAATCAATATTTATTCTACAAAAGCGGGCTATCCGAGCGATATATAACTTGCCCCGTCGCGAATCTCTGAGAGAACTATTTAAAACGATAAATATCCTGACGGTGACTTGTCAGTTTATATATGAAAATATTATGTATGTAAGGAAAAATTTGCAATTATTTGAAAAAAGAAGCGATAGACATAATTTTAATACAAGAGGCAAAGATAGGCTGGCTGTGCCACGATTCCGTCTGTCCAAGGTACAGAAATCCTTTATGGGGTTCTGTGTAAATTGTTACAATAAAATTCCAAGTACTGTATTGAATCTTAACGAACGAAAATTTAAAACTTATATTAAACGTGAATTGTGTAGACAGGCATACTACAAACTTTCAGATTATATTGAGGATAAGAATGCCTGGCAGCGTGTTGATTCGGCTCCACTGGACAATACTCAAATATAGTCAGCAGTTAGGTAAAATTCTCAAAAATAATGCATCCTTAATTTATATATCCAAAAAGTTTATATAGAAGCACTCTTAAAGATTGTGAGTACGCATATGTGAGCGCCATGTTCGAGACGACAAAGGAGTAAAATTTTATGATAGGTCCCCTCATTTGTTCTTTTTTTTAACAACTTGTCTCTGCATTTTCTCACATAAGGGTACACTAATGTATACTATAAATGTTATATTATTGAAATTGTAAAACAATTTTTAAAAAAAAAAAGAGTAACGAATGGAGTTTCTTGCTCGTTCTTCTCCATTCGAATCTACAATTTGGAATGAGCACCTAGCTTCACTGACGAACAGACTGACAGACTACTTTTCTATTTTGACGTTTCAAAAGTACCTATTGATGGTTTAGTTGGAATAAATGATTTTGACTTTGACTTTGACTTTGGGCAAAGCACCGCCGTGTTCACAGGGAAGTCCTCTCGCGCCCGGTTTAAGTCTAGGCCACGGTGCGGAGCGTGAGGAACTGGGAAGCCGTCTCCTTTTTCTGTGAAGCAGTTATGCTCGCAAAATAGGAGGCGGACCGCGTAAGGGAGTTATCCTCCTCCTCAAGCCCTAGCCACCGCGGTAGGCAACACTCCAGGGATCGAGAGACGATCGAGTAGGAGTTGCTCGCCCAACCAGAATCGGACCCTAGCGTATGGCGCGTAGCGTTACACGCGCGCCTCAAAGAGCAAATAAACCACCACAGACGGGGCTCTACAGGGCTGATGATTAGCGAAGTAAGCAATGAGGCACCGCGGCCTCGGACTAGAGCAGGAGAAAGATCTCGCATCACCATAGGCGGGAGAAGTCATTTGATGACTTTCCCCTGACAAAATAAAACGATTGATGACATTTTTAATAACACTCACTTATTGATGTTGAGACCTCATTATTTCCACAAGCTCCGTTTGATACTAGTACAGTGTCATCCTTGTTATTTTCAATCAAATCATCATCAGGAAACTGGTGGACTTCATACCAAAAAACTTCTGGTAGCAAACCAAACTTGTTGCCATGAGTGAGTTCCACTGAACAATCCTGTCTCAATATATGTATTTGTTTGCCTTCTTTAATATAGAAACATGGATTTTGATGTAACTAAAAATGAAAATATAATATTATTTTATTATACCAAACTTTAGTGAAAGTAAATATTATACACAATTGTTACATGAAATTTATATTTGAAAGGACACTCATTAATATTATGAAGAACATTCTCAAAACTGACTCCCTTGACACACTTCCTAATGAATAGAGTGGTGGCAGAATGGAACTAACAATCAGAAAATGTGATAAAAGCGCCGCAAACGAGCAGACGGACAACCTGATGGTAAGTAATCAGCGCCGCCCATGGACACCCGCAACAACAGAGGAGTTACGAGTGTGTTGCCGACCTTTTTGGGGATAATATATATTTACATATGGATATATATATTTAGACATTTGGGAGATTTAGGGATTGGGGAAGTGAAGGATTGGACCTCCGATAACCTCACTTACACGGCGAAACAACGCTGTGGTTGTTTCACGCCGGTTTTCTGTGAGGCCGTGGTATCACTACGGTCCAGCCGAGCCATTCGTGCCGAAGCATGGCTCTCCCACACTTAATTTATTAAAACACACAAAATAAACAAAACCTTTAATACACATGCATCAGTGTTTCAGGCTGCCGCTGTTCAAGTATTATTAAAATAATAATTAAAAAATTTGCATACCGATTTAAGGCTGAGGGTATCTGCGGTCACTTCCAGTTGAGCATGGTTACGTGATATTCTTTTATCAATCTCATCAATCTGGAATTAATTATAAAAGGATTTGTTTTAGTTTGTTTACATATTGCTTTATTGACAGAAAACTCAACAGTTTATTAATTATGTTTTTAAGTGTCAGTCTTAAGTATGATAAGCTTAATTTTATTGTTTTATTTTAAAATATTTTTCTATAAAGTCATTAATGTGGTTTACAGGACACCTCTACTTACTTAATAATATATATAAGACCAATGATATATTTATTTATTTATACATTGCTAGCCACTATCATGCAATTTCACTTGCTTCTCGGCTCACTGTGATAGTAGTGTGATGTTGTATATCCTATAGCACTCCGATAGATTGTGGCTATTTTTGAAAGAAAATATTTTGAAATCCAACCAGTGGTTCTAAAGATTATCCCTTACATACAAATTACAAATTTTACCTCTATAATATTAGAATAGATTGGCCTAGTGTGCTGCACATAACAGGAAAATTTACAAAAAAATTAGTTTACAATGAGCATTCTTATAGCACATTTGATACTTAATATTTCAAATACTATATTATACTACTGTACAATTTGAGAGTATCTAAGTAAATAAGTACTTGGTGAAATAAATACTGATTCAAGTCTTTTGTGTACATGATTGAACACATTGCAAGAGATCACTCCTGTCATTGCTACCACGTAGAAGGAGCATTCATTTACAAATTTCTTAAATTAATAAAAGTAATAAGAGTCATGGTAAATTAATGATTCTTAAATCTAGATACAGTGCGGCCGACGTATCTTGGCGAGTCTGAAGTTAGCCATTTGTCTGCGCAATGGATCTTTTAGGAACAAAATTGTGTACTGCGCAGCTAATCGGCTAACTTCAGACTCGCCAAGATACGCCGGCCGCACTGTACATATATATTACAATGCCGAGAGTAAAATTAATTGTAAAATAAGTTTTAGAATACAAGCATAATCTCAGAATTAATAATCATAATGATTAATCTATGACTCATATAGAATAAAAAAAGAACAAAACAAAATTGACAAGCTAAATATTTAACTAAGCTGTAAACGAGCTCAAACTTGTTCAAAAAGGTTCAAGGTTTTTTGATATCAGTATGTTTATGTTTATTTAATTAGTTCGTAATACACAAAAAAAAAATCGGTAATTTGTCAATTTTAAGGAAGAGTTAGTATGTAAGTGGTTAGAAATTGAAGAGGTATGTGAGTAATAAACGTAAAAACTTATCATTTTACTATAAACATAAACTTACTTTGAAGTGACCGCGACCAATCGTAAATATTCCAACAGGTAGTTTTATTTTGTGATTATGATCTGTATCAATTCGCACTACTTTGAAAATCATGATTATAGTCAAACGACAACTAGTGGCACAGATTTACACTACACTTTGCAACTCTTAATCAAAGAGTATGTAACCACTACGTTTAAGAGACGGGACTCCCATACAAGCCAGTGGAATCAATTTACACGGCACTCTAATACCTACATTGCAGTAAATAAAAGATGTCAGCCGTCAAAATCAATAGTACCAACCTAAAAGACCAAATAGTTCTGTGGTAGCTGTATACTAGGTTTAGTATCGATATCGATAATATTTATAGGGTAGAAATCGAGGTCATATTACTTTTTTAATTTTTAATTTCGATCTTTAAGATTAAGTTCGGATTTGAAATAAAACATTGTGTTATATTAAAAACTAAAAAATATATTTTTGTAATAATATTCAAATTCATGTTATATACGGACGGTGTGTTAAGGACCTAACTAAAATTATTTAAATTAAGTGGACTCTAATACTTAATACATATATTGGTTCAGTAAATTGGTTCTATGGGCACATTCACTAAATCTTCTTTGCCAACAACTTTCACCCACTGCCGGCACCTGAAAAATGGAAAAAATCAAAATGGACAGTCCCTGACATGAATAACTCTAAATTGTTTAAACAGCTGGCGTTCCTTACATAATAAATGAATAAATTTTACGAATACAGTATACATACATTTTTATCTACGTTTAATCATTAATTTCTTAAAATCTACTGGGTTAGTCGTGTCACAACTTTGTTCAACAACATTTATTAACATCATTACTTCTTTGGTTTGGTCTGGAAAGTAAATCACGAAAGAATAATTAAATCAAGGGATCTTTGGAGTTTAGCCCACACATAAGTCTGTGACTATCGATACTTGAGGTACATCACTAGTACACAATAAGTACATGAAAATCAATCTACATGTATTTGTAGCCTTTTATACTTAGAATTAAATAAAATTATATCATTTAATGCTTACCGGTCCTCATCCAAAGGAAATTTCGCTATAAACATCCTTTTCTCGCCATTTTTACGACCGGATCGTCCTCCGCAGATTTCACAAGTTAGAAACCGTTTTTTTGGTGGCATTTTACTTGAACACGTAACTAGTCACAGCCGTATCACTAACCACTAATTAACTAAACAAATTATACGTAAATTTATGAAATTATGAAAATAACAACATAAACTTACAAAAGCAACGACATTCAAAGTTCAAAACTTCAATTAAAATGGCCGACGGATTAGTGAAAGAAAGAGAACTGTACTGAGGGAGTGGGATGGCAATATCCGGCTACTTCCGTGTGCCATTATTTGCCGTGCCAAGCCCATACATTTTTATTTTTCTTCTAAGTTGCGCTAGGCTGCTCTTAATATTGAATATTGATGTCGCGAATAAACATGAATACTGTCCCATTTCCCAATCTTTGATATCACACCGTTGACGTTTGAATGAATTGACACTAATAACATAACTAATCCTGTCTTATGTCAAAAAAACATTTAAAATATTTTTCTCTGGAGTGTATAGTAGTTTACAAGTAACTTACAATAAAATAAGTCTCAAGCAAAACACAAGTAACATTTGCACATAAATGTGTACATTTTGTACTATTGATAACAAATCAATAACAATATTTCAACACGTTTTGATATTAGCTTTCTGACTGACCGAATTGACGAGATAACTAAACGTTCTCTTCGTAAACGTCAAATCAAAATTCTGAGAAGAACAAAATAATCGAATATTTACCAAAAGTCTTCGGTTTATTGACTAACCAAAAACTAACATTAAAATGATTAAAAATACAGTAACAGGGGCTCATAGGCCACTATCCGGACAGTTATACAAGTACACGAATGTTGTGAAAGGCTGGCAGCAGCGCTGGTTTGCAGTAGATCCCGAAACAGGAGTTTTATCGTATTATCTATTCGATGGGCCTGGTGATACTATTCAGCCCGGCCAGCCAGCTAGGGGCGAGGTAAGTTATTCTAATGTCAACTGTACAACCAATAAAAATTGCAAGTTAATCTACCTACCTGAATATTTATTTACCCTTCATAAACTTAAGGAATTTATGTAAACTTTTGTATTTACTTGTAATAACTAATATTTTTTTAAGAAAGAAAACTTCTTAAGTGTTGTTTGGTACACACAACTGCTCAAGTTTTTTATTATTCACCAGGTCATTAAAGGAACTGTTCTTCAAAGACAGTTTATTTTTATTCCAGGCACATTTAGCTGCTGCTGTGATATGTCCAAGTGATGAAGACTCTCGTACCTTCACTATCAACTGTGCTTCCGGGGACATGCTCAAGCTGAGGGCCACTGATGCCAGGGCTAGGCAGGAATGGGTTAATGGACTGAGAGCTATTGCTGAAATTCACACCAAGGTATTTATTGTAATAATACTGATGTTCTCTAGAATATCCTAAACAACATAGCATAATCTCCAAGGGAGTAGACTGTGACGCAGGTCTGCCTAAAGGGGATCCTTCAGAAATATACGTCACCTATGTACCTCACTATTTTAATGTTGTGTATAATATTTGATACATGATACATAAATATAATATGTGTAAATAAGTACCTATAGATTGCATCATCACCTGCTTTCCTATAGTTATTTTATGGATCCTAAGAAAAGGTACTGTCACACTGAAATACTTGTTAACTTTTTTATATATCTATTCATATAGCTTCTACATGTGGTGGTTCCTTACATCTAAACTCACCAAACTAGTTTGTTTGATGACCAACTAATTACCTTCTTGGGAGTAAATTATACTGGAACAAGAACATAATTTAGAGAGGTTTTGAATTAATATGTAGCTTGTAACTTTCAGGCGATGGGTGCTAATCCTCCACTCCAACCCAGAGAGCAGCTGGCTGTGCATGATGCCATGGCTTCTGCTAGAAACCAATTACAGGCCACAGAAATGAGGTAGCTATATTAAATATTTGATGGATTTATAGGTAGTTGCTAAGCTGCTAAGCAAATGTGCTCAAACTTCAAAGTAACAAAGCTTTTTTTTCTTATTGTGCATCTTTGTGATAGATTCTTGCCTTTTCAGAGTAGGTACAGTATCCTACATACATATACATATGTATTAAGTTTATTATTCCTAGACTTGTATGTTGGAATGATAACATTAATGAAGGAAAAAAAAAGAATTGTCACATAACTTTATAAAACATTTTATGTTTCAGTGATGCAGCTCTGGCAAGATGCATAGAATCAGCCGACTCACCATTCCCTCACACAGACCCTGACCTATTACTGTTAAAAGTAAGTTTGTATTTTAATATTTTACCATATTCGTTTCCAAAAAACTTCTGTAACACACTATAAATATTCAAATATATGTGATACATAATACTTTTTAACACATTTCACAAGAGGGAGTGTCAGACTCTTACTGACTAAAAACGCCCCGGTTCCTCCTCCCGCCGAATTACTACTACTTACTTACTAAAAACCAGGCCGATGCCACGGGATCTTATTGCGCTTTCCACGCAACCACAGCCGAACATCGGTTCTGTAAGGCACCATCTGTGGTGGGCTACTTGAAACAGAACGCGCCGTACGCTCAAGGCTGAGTCTTGCTCGCTGTCCGCAGACCGGCACTTACGGTGGCCAGAGATCGTCGCTCGCTCCCCGACGCCAAGAGTATCGTGTACTGTGGCGGCTAGGATATGAGAAGGATAGTTCTCTTACGCGCTCCGCATCCTTCTTCCACCTTGGCGCCGACCAAGGTCGGATTTGAGAAGTCACTGCCGCCGATCGCTTCGGCCGCACAATCACACCGCCCGATGGGCATCGGTGGTCCTCACAGTGATCCCTGCTTCAGGGAGAAGCTGCGCTACGTTATTGCGTATTTCGAAGGATAAACGTTGTCCCACAGGATTTTCTCCTGTGTCGTGGGTGCTGTTACAAACATTCGATTTCAAATACATATGACACCCAGACCCGGAACAACAATTTGTGGGTCACACAAAGAGTTGTACCGCCCGGGAATCGAACGGGATACCTTGCACGGCAGCCAGTTGCCTAGCCACCGCACCAACCGTGCCGTCAAACACAATCACTAGCCGAATCGTATATTTTGCTGTTACTTAGTCATAGTATAGACATTCTTCATATATAGTAAAATATTGTAAATAATTTCAGGCTACCTCAGCTGCCAGCATGCAGTGCCTACTCCAATGCCTTGGAATTCTGCACCGACAGCAACAGTACACATCAGTGAGTGTCTCAAGCAAACATTCGGATGACCACCACTAGTAGTGACTACTGATACTATTGTTGATACATTGTGGGCTAATACATTCCATCTCGTGTGAATTTAAGGACTATGTATTGTGATAATTATGGTTGCTGACACGTCTTCGTAACAAGGTTTTAAGCGTCTGACTACTGCCAAAAAACCGTTAAAGGCTAATCCTCTGCTAACATCTTTCATCGTTGTCTGACACGGCGTCCAATGTCAGTGTTTAAGTATAACAGGAAAATGTAAAGAATGTAAAGCTATATACTGTGGGGTTTCATGTAATACTTTGACTAGGTACTTGAAACAGCTATTTAAAATTACAATATGAAATGTATTATGTATTGTCCCACATTGTATTTTGAATTTTTAGCTTAAAAAGACAAGCGTTGTTGACATATCCTCATGTTTTCCTTATAGTTATACTCCATTGGCGTTATGTAATTGTAAATATTTTATCTAATAAAAACAATTGATACCTTTCTTAACGATTGGTATTTTTAGATTTACACTTAAGTGTAAATTCAGTTTTAATCCAAGAGTATTTTATGGTTTTAATTATTTATATCTATGGTTAATTTGTACTTACTTTTTAGGAAAGAATACCTACCTATATACTTAGTAGTAGTGGCTACGAAATAAAAGTCTTCTTGTTATACATTGCTTGGTTTAAATTGATTCCTTATATTATAAAAATGTAGAGAGACTTGTGTATGTTTGTAGAACGATTTTTGTATCATGTGCGCTTATCAACTTTTCTGTAATGAAAGTGATATCTATAAGATTCTTTAATAATGTTATTGCTCCTTGACATAACGTGGCAGCCATTACCGCCTTGCTACATAATGTTGTAAACAATGTACTTATGTAGGGGACTAGGGAAGTTTTGAGATATCGTTAATTAAACTATCCAAAGTACCTTTATCTATGCGGCATACTGTTAAGGGGTAACAGTTTAACGCTTAGGTATACTGTGAATAGTTTCTTTAAAACGTAACAAAAAAAAAACTAACAAACCCTACAAGATTTTATGTAAATTTTTAAGTTTAGATCAATAGCGATTTTACCTAACTTCAACCGAGGTTTGAGTGCTGAGGTAGCTTAGTGTATCGGTGGTATAAACAGTTCCATAGGGGATAGTTTATTATTTTGTGCCACGGTTCTCAAACCGGTAGACCCATTAAACTAGTATCCTAAGAAAATATAGCCGCAGTTTAGAATCTGCTTGAGGTAAACTGAATTATACTAGAAACAAAAAGAGGAACTCTTGAAAATTGACGCACCATCAATTAACACTATTTAACATGACCAACAACAAGTTGGAAGTTTGGAACAGCGGCCCAAAATTCAAGATAATAGTTCTATAGTAATAAGGGATGCATAAGTATGAAGTAACATCAAAATCCAAAAACAAGGTGTGGTAACTTACAAGATGAGAAACAACCGACGACGACTATCAAACAATCTCGATTGGTGGAAATGAAAATGGTCGTAGTTTCCTTTGGAAAAATGTGTAGGTAGGCATTAGCCTATCAATAGAATAACTCTAGATGAAAAGAAAACAGCAAAATGGTATAGGTGGTATTGAGATTTACCACAATTGATTCGGTCTTTAAAAAACCTCTGAATAAGCAGATGCCTTGGCACTTAGCAGCTTTATCACCATAACGCACTTGTACATACGACTAACTACTTGAGCGCCCTCTTTACATAGGTACGCAATCCTGCACCCATCTTGTTCAAAGTCATAACTTTAGACTATTCTGATATATTAAAAACTAAAAAGATTTTCCAGCGATGAACAATTTATTTTAAGCGTAGGATTTAGCTTGAGAAGTCTCTGAAGAAGCTTGGAAGAAAATCTTTGTAGATTGGATACGGTAGGTGTACTATTTTGAAGAAATCTAATAATGATCTATCTACGGAATCTTAATTTTCTGTTAGTAATATAATATATATAACCAGTAGGAGTCTAATGCTTATATATTGCCCTGGACACTCAATGCAGTACCTATAAGCTTTACGATTGATTCCCAGAACACAAGGGCCAACCAAGAATATTCGTAACCCTTGCAATAAAGGTAAAATATAATAGGTTTTAATATATTAAATCAATATCTATGTTTCATGTCTCATGGATTGTTTGTAGATGTCTTTTGTTCCAGTTTTATATGACAATTCGTGAAAACGAATCATTTTACAATATACCTTAGAAGTATTCGTTTATATTTTTTTTTATAAGTATATATTAAAAATGTGTGACCAAGAATTTAGAACCCAACGTATCGACCCGCGCTATCCACATCAAAATCAAACTAAGTAAGTCAAAATTTACAGGTAATAAGAGTGAAATTAGTTTGGTTTTACACAAGCCAGGCCCTATACTCAGAATATTCTGTATTCTGAGGCCCTATATAAACTACACTCTCGCGCGGTTTCACCTGCTGCTCGGCTCCATTTGATCGTAGCGTGATGTTAATAGCCTATAGCACTCAGGAACAATGTACCTGTCTATCAGTGAATGGATTTTGGAAATCCGACCCGCGGCTCCAAAGATTACCTCCTACATACAAACTTACAAATTTTACCTCTTTATAATATAAGTATAGATTAACTTCTTGCCTATTCACATTTATGTAAATAAATAATGAACCTGACATTTCAGAGCTTGTTACGATAATTACTGCGACTTTTACAAGTGCCAAAGACTGCTGGGTGAGGCAGATGACTGCAGAATATTCAAGCGTTATTTCGAGACAATCTGCCCGAATTTTTGGATATCTCATTGGGACGACCTTAGAGAGAAAGGAGCATTCCCAGGTCCTCTATAAAACATTGTTTTATTAGAATAAAGCATTTTTAAATATACTTAATCAGTTTCTTTACCTTTCTTCGTAAAGTAAAAAACCGGGGTTGTTTGCTTTATGCCTTTCTCCAATACTATGCTAGCTTTGTGCACAATTTTTTTATTTTAAACTACATACCATTCTGCTTTATATTATTATGAATACAAAATTCTATGTTAGACACTGAATGTGCCAGTAAATAATACAAAAAATGGAATCAACACATTTATTCCCTAAATCACATAATTGGGCCTAAATAAAAATAAAACTCGCATAAATTAACAAGTCAGCGGCGACCAGTGGAATACTTTAAATCCTTCCAGCGAAGGTACCCTCGGCGCGTTGGGAGTCCCACTTCTCAACCCATTCATTGGGGCATAGAGATTTGAAGCAGCGCTGGAAGTAGTAGCATGGCTCGTACTTCTCGCCGCGCACCTTCTGACAACGGTGGAAGTCCAGGTAGCTGGCGTAGCAGTACCTGCAACATAGGTTTTACTGTGTTGAGATATGTAGCCTAAAATATTTAGTTTTTACATCTACCAGTATGGAGTGTCCTTGTGTATGTATCTCCATAGTTTGAATGGTAATGCCCTTGTTGACAAGTACCATGCGTTGGGCAAGGTATTTAAGTGCTGATAGTATATCAATACTGGTATCATAAAGATAAAAGTACTAATTTTAATTGGCCATTGATGTTTGACGTTAAATTATAGACAACCATACTAAATAACCCAAGTTACCTTTACATTTGGAGACTTGCTGTTAATATATAGGAAACATTGTACTTACAGTCGGTGACATGTATGCACACTGCAACTGTAGTCTTTGACCAAACATGAGATACCAGATTATTACTTACAACATTCAATGTTTGGCAGTAGTGGTAGGCCTCAGAGAAAGCACTGGACACGCATCACAAATAATCAAGCTTATGTTACCTTGTTTGGTTCTGGTTAGGGAACCGCGGGTCGAAAGGTGCAGTTTTGATGTCGGCGGGCGATTTGATCATCTCAGGCATGATGCTGCAACGAAACACAACCTAGTCATTGAAATAATTCTTTATTTGGAATATTTTTATAATAAAGTAAGATTAAATGGTATCTAGACATACTAATACAATAAACACTGTTATAGAGTAAAATAAAAATTGTTAATATATTGTAAATACATTGCAGAGGTCACAATAAAAACCTTAACACTAATCTAAAATATTAGTAAGTTTATTTCACAAGAGGTCTTGTTTTCCTTTCTTCTTCACATGAAGTTTCTCTATATTTCTTCACTTCCTGCATGTAAAGAGACCATGCATCCTTAGGCGCATTGTCTGCAGTTTGTTCATCTATAGCTTTAGCCTTTTTCACTAATCCAGTCTTTAGGATCCTCCCACCTCTACGCTTTCCTATAAAAGGCAATATTGGCTTTTTAATTTCAGGCTTTTTTTCTGATTCAGCCTTTTTAGTCACCTCCTGCATCTTTTTAAACATTTCTAAGAAACTTCCATCATTCTTTATAGGAATTGGAGCTGGCTTGGATTTTGAGGTTGAAGCTTGCATTACTTGATCAGGGATCAATAGTTCTGCAAAATTCGGTCCTTCAACTTCAGGAGGGTCACCATATTCAATATCATCAACAGTTGTTGATTCTACAGCACCAGGAGGAGGTTTCAATTCTTTGGGGGGAGTTTTAGTTTCTTTTACTTTATCCTTCTCTTCTTGTCTATTTCTATGCATTTTCCAGAAACGCTTTCTATCGGCCACTGTAAACTGTCCGCGGCGCTCGTCATCTGAAGGCGTTCCAGAGCGACTACGTGAACAAGAACTATTAGATCGAGACTTGGAGCCCCTTGGGCTAACTGAACGATTTCCTTTTCCCCTGGACTTGGACCGGCGTTGTGAACTCGATCTTCTTTTGCTCATCGAGCGCCTTTTAGAACGACTTTTTGATCGCGATTTTCGCTTTGTCTTCCTTCTGGATTTCGATGGCGACCGGCGGTGGGGGGTCGATGACCTTGACCTACTGAAGGAGCGAGACCTGGAAAGACGTGAGCTTCTAGAACGTGATCGTTTACGTTTTGATCGTCGCGGGGTGTGAGACGGCGACCGCGACGCCGATCTAGATCGTGACTTAGAGCTAGATAACCTTCTTCTGCTATAAGTTTTGGGTGGGGTCAAAGAACTGTCCCTCCCCTTCTGTGCTGGAGAAAGAGATCTTTCTTTGTATTTTTTATTTATTTTTGGCGGTGGTGATGGTGTGAGCGAGGACCTTTTAGACTTTTTATGAGAGACTTTGGAATCTGACTTTAATTTTCGTTGAGGTGTAGAAACCTTCCTAGCTTTTTTGGAATGAGATTTAGAATCCTTATTTTTCTTTTCAACCTCTGCAGAAGACCTGCTTAATCTGTCATGACTTGGTGTTCTTTGTACTTCTGATCCATGACGAGAACTTGAAGAGCTCCTGTTTCTAGATAATGACTTGTCACGTCCATGAGATTTGACAGATTTTTTCCTATAAGATCTGTCAGAACCTGAAGAATTCGACGAAACCGATTTCCTTTTCTTTTCTCTTTTCTTAGGTGAACGAGAGTATGAATGGGAGCTTGAACGATCACTAGAAGTATACTTCTTGCGTTTTGCTGATTGGCTCCTTGATCTACGACGATGACCCTCTTCATAGCTGCTGTCTCGTTTCTTTGAATATTCTCTCTCTCTCCTTTGATAAGGAGAAACACTTCTAGACTTAGAATGATAAGATCTTCGGCGTTCATATCTGTGAGAGTCGGTAGGAGATCGACTTCTCTCGCGTTGTCGAGCAGGGTAATCGTAGGCAGCTTGCTGCTGTTGCTGTAATTGTTGTTGTTGTGGAAATGTCCTAGATTCAGGGTACTTTCCATAGAAGGTGCCATCGGCACGCTGATAGTAACTAGAGTCGTAATTGTAGCTGTAGCCAGGCGCATACGCCTGGTACTCGTAGGGCGGCGCGCCGTACTGGCTGTAGCTGACCCCGGTCCATGGGTCCGTGGTAGGCATGGCTCGTGGCGGGGCGGCGGGCGGGTAGCGCGGCGCGCCAGTGTAGTCTGCCTCAGCACCCGGCGGCCCGCCATCCCACGCGCCGCCCGCGCCTCCCGCACCGCGATACGAGGACATACTTATCAGAGTCCCCTCGCATAACCTGCAGCAGTTTGTAGGTGCGCACACACCTACAAACAGAACAACTTTTTGGTGTAGACAGCAGCTCTACATAAACTTCGCTCGAGAGACACCCTCGCGCATCGATTACATTTTTCATGTTTCGTTGATAAATAATTTTTATACGAGAAACAACAAATTACGTAATCCGAAAACGGAGCACAAAATGCACCGACAAAGCATGTGTCACATATACATCTAACGTGATACAAGAGAAATATCAACAAAATACCTCGGTAACATGCTCACCTTTTTTCAAAATAGCTTTTTCTCAATATTTCAATTCAATAGAAAATGGCAGCGCACACATTCGCTACTCGATGCCCATAGACAATATCCTAAATAGGTATAGACTATAGACTTGTTTTTAGACCATAGACAAGAAATCGATAGGTAGTCCATTTTTTTAAAATTATTCTTTGTTTTTATTTTTTTATTTATATACAAATTTACACATACAACATTACGGTTTATTTCAATGCGTTATACTGTTAGCTAATATATACAAATTTTAGGTTAAAGACACACTCCTTGTAGGTGTGGCGTCTGGCACAGGCACAGCGCTACGAACGAACTGAATCTGAACCAAACTTGAATTGAGTCTGAAAACTTCCAGCTTTATCATCCGCGATGTAAACAGACAAACAAACAGAACATAGATACCAGATTATGCCCACCCAGACCGACAAATTAGAGAGCACCTTGAGCCTGGCAAGTCGAGTAAACATTGTATAATTATGTACATATATCGTAGTGAATCGATCTCTTGACCATTTTGGCTATCAGCAGAAATTAACCGCGTAGCAACATCTTTTGAAGTTGATAAACGTGTTTGTTTAAAACGTAATAAGCGATGTACTTACATAATTGGTAGCACCAAGCAGGCCTGTGCAGAAGTTCCCTTAATATTTATCTTCAGAATCAAAAACTTATTATACCAATAACTTTTACATAATAGTACTAGTTAATATCCACTTTATTATCCCATTCCATGCTTGCTCAGGACACTTTCGTATTTCTCCCTCAGTAGTGCGAAAAATTAAATGTTGTCTGTACTTTGTCTAGACAACAATATAGAGAAAACATAGGTACTTTGGTTCTTAGTTTTATTCATTTTGTTACCTAAATCCAAACTAATATTATAACCATAACTTTGTCTATCTGTCTGTCTGTCTTTCTTTTCTTTACTCCTAAACTACTGAACCTATTTGTGTGGTACAGACATCGTTTGGAACTCGGGAAAGGACATAGGATAGTTTTTTTAAACAAAAATCTGCAGAAGGTCACTATTCCACGCGGAAAAAGTCGCCGGCAAAAGCTAGTATGATATATAAGATTGCTTGTTACTTTTCATAAATTCATGGATAGTCAGAGATTGCAAGATTTTAAAATGGTCTGCGCTGGCGCTCACTGTCTATGGTAAAAACTCTTGTCTGTCAACAAACAAAGTGTTAACTGTCATGTAGAGCAAATGTGTCACGTCGCCGGCGCGCCAGGAATTGTATTTGGGACTGTAATTATATTTTAGTGATAATTTGCTACTATCTTATTGCTAATTGGAGTTTGGCCGTCATTTGTGGTTTAATTGTCGTCCATGAGTAAATCTAAAGTGTCAGCAGAATGGAAGAAGCGAGTGAAGTCGGAATATATGAGGCTCCGCCAAGTCAAGGTATGTATAAGTCATGTTTAAACAAAGGTTTTATTTTTTTTTATTTTTATGCAATGTCCTAAGTGTTTCAATTAATCAATCAAGGTGGTGTTGATGTTTCTGATAAAGGTGCTGGTAATATCTCTTTTGTTCAAATTTCCTCTGTGACTGTCTGATTCTTAAATAACTTGCTAGGTATGTGTTCCTGTATTGGTCCTAGAAAAAAAAAGTTGAGACAGGATCAATTATTACAAACATGTCAATGCGTATTCTTTTACTTTAATAGACACATTATAATGATTGAAAATGTAACAAAAGTAGATTTTCTATGTCAATTGTAATAGTTAATACACACAACATTCACATTTACAGCGCTTCAAGCGAGTAGACGAGGTGAAAGTGGCATGGGCTCGTAATCTGAGGATTATGTCTGAGTCTATAGAGGCTCAGGATTCTGAAAACAATGAGCGCGCCAGGAAACCTTTCTGGCCACCTCCTGCTCCGGTACCCAACCATGAGAGTCTCATGAAAAGAGCAGAAGTCACATACACTGATGGTAACTATAAATCTAATGTTGAATAGTGTATTATATCATTTTGTCAGGCATAAGGCAGTAATTAACTTATAAACTGTTCTGGCAAAAAAATCTTAATATACTTATTTTCTCATTTCAACTTTTATGGAGTTGTAGCTTTATGTACCTTTATGGAGTGGTTGTTGTTGAAGTTATTCAAATATTATAATTTTATAATTTCTCAACAGCCTCCGGAGTAGTAACGACACAACAAGTTCCAATTCGTATAATAAACTCAGTGAATCCAATACCTACAATGTATACCTGGGCTCCAACACAGAAGAACTTCATGGTGGAAGATGAGACGGTTCTCCACAACATCCCGTACATGGGAGACGAGGTCCTGGATCAGGATGGTACATTCATCGAGGAGCTCATAAAGAACTACGACGGGAAAGTGCATGGTACATCTGCTTAACATCATTATTCTTATGTTTGTGGACTGTGCCGTTTTGTGCATGACTAGCCAGAGCTTGATGGATATCATTTAAACATGACTTTTTAGGCTGGCAATTTATTTGTCACTCCTCTGGTATTGGAGGTATCAACAACTGCTCTGGTCACTTACCTAATGACTTATGATATCCGCATTGTGACTTACATTTTGTACATATGTAATTTTTAGGACAAAACTTCCTTCATCATATAACACAAATTAATGTTTTTGTTTAAGATGCTGCAGTTTTCAAATGTATGCATTTATTACTTATTTAAGAACTATTAAACCCAAGTACTTCCTTTTAACACTTTCTTGGATTGAAAAAAATACATTTGTGTGCAAAAGACTTCATAAAAAAGATCTAGGATGGTATGGGATGAATATATAAACCTGTTTTTCAAGTTTAGTATAATTCTGAGGGCTGATTTATCAATGGTTAGATAAATATTATCTGAAGAATAAAATTATTGCTGTCACTGTCTCATACAAACATTCTGATGCAATAGCATCAATTTTATTCCTAAGGTAACAATTATCTGACTATTGAAAAATCTGTTCTAAATAAAAAAGCTATAGGGAATAAAATTTATGTATTGTGTTTCTGAAAACAAGGGCTCTGTCCACAGACTGTCACACAAATTTAATACACATTGGTGTGTGGTGCACACATCTATGCTTTTAAATATTTAAATAGTAATATAAGAGCTTCTCAACCATAGACATGTATTACACATCTCTTTAATTATTAAGAAAAGAGATTGTGTATTCCTTAAAACAGGGAAAACAAAATACCTTAGCCACTCTACACTTATTAAAAAACCAGTGTCTAATTTGAATTATGAATTGAGTGTGTCTCCAACAAGAAATAAATAAACCAAAGAGGAAACTCAGGAAAAAGTTTAGAATTATTTGTGCATGTCTCTGGTTATGTATAAAACTGCTGTGTAAAAAAATGGACACAATTCGTATAGATCATAGGCCTTTGCAATCACACAGTCACGCTTGTCGTGCTTCACACCACATTACCACTAGAAGATAATGAAGATAGGGCAGGTGTAAGCCTTTCTAGAGAATCTACTGTCTATGTCTAATAATGCCAATTCTTCTAAAATTTAAGTATGTGACAAAATGAAATTAGGGTTTGTAAATGAACTACGAGTCTGCTTTTTACTTTTTAACTAGAGTGTCAAGTAATAACTCATAAATGTAGTCAAAATATGTGCCAATTGTTAGTGAGACGGAGATGGCAAGTTGTTAGCGTGAACTTTTGGTCAGGGGTCTCAAGATTACAGAAATGAGGATGTTTTTTAACAAACACAAATTAAGGTGGAATTTTACTCATAGTACACCTTCTTCGCCATAGTTATTGTGTAAGTCTGACTATAGCTAAACAGTTATTAAGAAAGATATTTTATTTTTTTATTTTACTACCTATTATTCCAAAGATGGGGCCCTAAACAAACTACTGAACATCAACCCTATAGTTTATGTTCAGCTTTGGTTGATGCCTAATAGCAATGAGAGACCGTGGCTTCAGCCAAAAGCAGGAGAAGGAACGGGGGGTTTTTAGTCAGTAAGAGTCTCACAGGATGTAATTCGATGATTTTCCCCTCACAAAATAAAACCTATAATTTACTCAAAATTTCATTAGTCAAACTTTTTCCGCAGGTGACAAGGAAGGTGGTTTCATAGACGACCAGTTGTTTGTGGACCTGGTGCATGCACTGATGGCTTTCCAGACCAAAGAGGAGGTCGCTGAGGAACGCAGGGACCGCGAGGCTCGGAACTCTAAGGAGGAGAAGGAGAAAGAGAAAGAAGTAAGTTAGTAATAAGTTAGTAATAAGAAGTTAGTAATAAGAAAAAAAAATTTTCCGTGCTGGAATTTAACCCGCGACACGTTGCACGGCAGCCAGTTGCCCAGCCACCGCACCAACCGTGAAGTCAAAGTAATTAAAAAATAAAATTGTTCCATTACTCGTGCTTTAATCTACATGTTTATTTCTTGGGAAATGTAGGAAAAACTAAGAGCGGATTTCCCAAAATATATTCAGAGAAAGAGAAGAAAGTACTTTTATACATGCAAAAGTCAAGAGCAAAAGATGTAGTAAGTACAATATTTTTACAATGTTGCAGGCTAAAGAAAAAGCAGCTTCTGAGCGAAAGGATAGAGAAGCTCGCAATTCTAAGGAAGATAAAGAGAAAGTATGTATAAATTTTACATATTCATCATCATCCTATAATTACCCACTGCTGAGCATTAATTACCACACTTGATCAAGGCAGATTAGCGATTACAAATGTATAATTAGAAATTTTAAGTCCAGGTCTCTTCACGATGTTTTCCTTCATCATATGTTAGGGGTGTTTTAATAAATCATAGAATTACATATAACTAAGGAAAAAGTCACATCGGTTCTTGCCAGCCAGGGCCCACAAGCCCAATATTACCTATTAATTATCAACTACTAAGCATAGAAATTTTAAACGAAAACTGTTATGTTTTATTATTTTGCTCAGGCACAATCAAGCAAGGATAAATCAGAAGATCGCAAAGACAGGGAAGCTCGAAACTCAAAAGAAGAAAAAGAAAAAGCAGTAAGTATTACCACATACTTTTATTCATGCATGTCATTATTGAATAGGTATTGAACAGCCGGAGAAAGCAAGAGTGACAGCGGGACAGAGACTTGGGAAGAGATGGAGGTGAAAG